GAGTCCACAACTTTAGCCATTACGCTAACTGCTGGTCCCAACAATTCTTTAAAAAAGAAAGAAAGTGAAAAAGCAGGCTGCCGGGTCTGGGACTCGAACTGTGGTCAACTATGTGGGAGTTCAGTGACATAGCCATTACGCTAACTGCTGGTCCCAACAATTCTTTAAAAAAGAAAGAAAGTGAAAAAGCAGGCTGCCGGGTCTGGGACTCGAACTGTGGTCAACTATGTGGGAGTTCAGTGACATAGCCATTACGCTAACTGCTGGTCCCAACAATTCTTTAAAAAAGAAAGAAAGTGAAAAAGCAGGCTGCCGGGTCTGGGACTCGAACTGTGGTCAACTATGTGGGAGTTCAGTGACATAGCCATTACGCTAACTGCTGGTCCCAACAATTCTTTAAAAAAGAAAGAAAGTGAAAAAGCAGGCTGCCGGGTCTGGGACTCGAACTGTGGTCAACTATGTGGGAGTTCAGTGACATAGCCATTACGCTAACTGCTGGTCCCAACAATTCTTTAAAAAAGAAAGAAAGTGAAAAAGCAGGCTGCCGGGTCTGGGACTCGAACTGTGGTCAACTATGTGGGAGTTCAGTGACATAGCCATTACGCTAACTGCTGGTCCCAACAATTCTTTAAAAAAGAAAGAAAGTGAAAAAGCAGGCTGCCGGGTCTGGGACTCGAACTGTGGTCAACTATGTGGGAGTTCAGTGACATAGCCATTACGCTAACTGCTGGTCCCAACAATTCTTTAAAAAAGAAAGAAAGTGAAAAAGCAGGCTGCCGGGTCTGGGACTCGAACTGTGGTCAACTATGTGGGAGTTCAGTGACATAGCCATTACGCTAACTGCTGGTCCCAACAATTCTTTAAAAAAGAAAGAAAGTGAAAAAGCAGGCTGCCGGGTCTGGGACTCGAACTGTGGTCAACTATGTGGGAGTTCAGTGACATAGCCATTACGCTAACTGCTGGTCCCAACAATTCTTTAAAAAAGAAAGAAAGTGAAAAAGCAGGCTGCCGGGTCTGGGACTCGAACTGTGGTCAACTATGTGGGAGTTCAGTGACATAGCCATTACGCTAACTGCTGGTCCCAACAATTCTTTAAAAAAGAAAGAAAGTGAAAAAGCAGGCTGCCGGGTCTGGGACTCGAACTGTGGTCAACTATGTGGGAGTTCAGTGACATAGCCATTACGCTAACTGCTGGTCCCAACAATTCTTTAAAAAAGAAAGAAAGTGAAAAAGCAGGCTGCCGGGTCTGGGACTCGAACTGTGGTCAACTATGTGGGAGTTCAGTGACATAGCCATTACGCTAACTGCTGGTCCCAACAATTCTTTAAAAAAGAAAGAAAGTGAAAAAGCAGGCTGCCGGGTCTGGGACTCGAACTGTGGTCAACTATGTGGGAGTTCAGTGACATAGCCATTACGCTAACTGCTGGTCCCAACAATTCTTTAAAAAAGAAAGAAAGTGAAAAAGCAGGCTGCCGGGTCTGGGACTCGAACTGTGG